TTTCTTCATTCTTCTTTGCTCTGGACGAGAAGAGACCCATCGTTGCATCTAGATGGCAGCTTGCTAGCTTTTCAGATCCCAGTCACTACTCGCCAAAGTGGGAGGTGGAACAATGTTTTATATAGTATGTTACGCCAGTTGAGCTTGATGTCCCCTGTGACTATGGTCCCAAGCCCGCAGATTCAACTACTCGGTCCCTCTGGGTAGCTGGCTGTGACCAAGCCATGACCACAACCTTGCCCCTTGTCCGCTCTGCTATACACCTTGGAATTCTGATCATTCATATACACTTATAGGACCATTGTCTGCCAACCCTGTATATGTTCTTGAATACACTCCCCCATTTCATAGACATACTAATCTGTATTTTGTTTTGCAATCCTCTTCTAAGAAAACTATTTAACAAACCATGTGGTGAGAAAAGGACCAGTCAGTGTTTAACCACCTGTGGCTTGCAGATCCCGGAGGCTGGACCTGTGGACTCACAGGGCAAAGGAGCACTCAGAGAAGGGTCCTCATGGGCCGTGTCTGAGTGCCTAGGAAGTAAAGGCAGAGGAGAGCAGAGGGCAGAGTCAGGAGGCAGAAGTGAGGGCCACAGCAGAAGTGACGCGCTCCCCCCGCTCTCCCTGTAGAAGCTGCTGTTTGAGCGGGGGAAGGAGTCACTGGAGTCGGAGTTCCGCAGCCTGATGACCCGGCACAGTAAGGTGGTCTCCCCTGTGCTCATCCTGGATCTGATCAGCGGCGAGGACGAGCTGGAGGTCCAGGAGGAGGTGGCGCTGGAGCACCTGCCTGAGGGCGTGTTGCAGGATGTGATCCGCATCTCGCGCTGGCTGGTGGAATACGGCCGCAACCAAGGTGAGCGGAGTGGGCCGCGGGCTGCGCTGGATTCGCCTGCTCGGCCCTTGTGGCAGGACCGGGGGTAGGGATTGGTCCCCTTCGTTTACTTAATCCATCTTTTTTTTTTTTTTAAATAGAAGTTTAATAGGCAATGCAAGCTATAAGTCTATGGTTTATGTATCAAATTAAGTAAAAGACTACCTCCCCACGGCCCGACGCCTGTATCATATTCCAGTGATGAGCGCTGTTAAGGTTTTTCATACCTTTCAAAACTATATGTAGCTGCTTGTGTGTGTATGTGTGTGACAGAGAGAGGGTCTCTGGGCAGCGTAGACCGTTTGTGCTCAACTCCTAACCTAACAGTGAGCACTTCAAACCCAGCCGGGAAGGGGAGCCTCAGAGGAAGGCCTGGCAGTCTGCTTCTGTAAAGATGAGAGCCAAGGAAGCCCAAAGGAGCAGTTCTGCTGTTACCACGTGGGGGCGCCATGCGTCGGCATCCGCGGCAGTGGGTCTGGTTTTTCTGCTGTTACCACGTGGGGGTGCCACGCGTCGGCATCCACGGTAGTGGGTCTGGTTTGGCTTTAGGAGTATGAGAGAGATTAACTACCTGTGTATCCTCACCTCCCAGACGGGAGCACCTGGAGCCTGACCCCACGGGCTTTCCCCCTGCCGACTGATGTGGCTTGAGATTGGTCCACGTCACTGCAGGTGGCTTTGGTTTGTCCTTTTTAGCGGCTGCACACTGCTCTGTGATACGGTGAGCCATCATTTCTGTAACCAGTTCTAGCAATTAAAAGACAAACCTCTTGAATTAAGCAAACCTTTTAGAAAGAAAATGGCCGGTGAATACTGCGTTGTACACATTTCAGCCCCCCGTGTCTTCTCTCCACTAGTGAGCACACGTGCTGAGTCCATTAGTTTCTCATCTATACTTATCCCCACTTCCCATGGTCACAGCATCTCACCACACAAACACACCCAGTCCCACGAGCTGTGCTGGAGAGCTCAGGGCTTGGCAGAAGTTACTCAGGCTCCCTTGGGATCCAGAGGGAGGCCAAGTGGACGGCCTGCTGACCCTTCTGTGCCCTGAAGCTGGACCCGCTCTGCTTTCATCTGTTTGTATGTTGGGGTGCTTTTTGGAGTATCCGTTAGGGACTGCTGAGAGATACCGTGTGTCTTAGTTCTCCAGTGCTGCTCTAACAGCACAGAAATTATTTTCTCGCAGTTTGGGAGGTGCAGAGTCTGAGTTCAAGGCGCTGGTTTGAAGGGAGGGGTCTCTCTGTGTCACCTCTGCAGGAATGTTTTATTCCTCGGTTCCTTGGTGGCCTTCATGTGCGTGGCACCTGTCTTCCCCCATCTCTTCCTGTGTGCCTGTTTATTCTCTTTTATATCTCAGAAGAGATTGACTTGACACACCCTGCACTGATATTGTCTCATTAGCATAGCAAAGAAAACTGATTCCCATATGGGACTATAACCAGCACAGGGGTTGGGACTTACACCACATGTTTTTGGGGGATGTGGATTCAATCCCTGACACTGATTTTTCTAGCTCTTTCCTTGCTTGTATACATTTTGGGATTTTCTAGCTTTCTGATAGCAAAAACGACAAGGAGGCCACATGTTCTGACCTCCTCTAACCCTACAAGAGGAAGACAGGATTACCAGCAGTAACCCAAGGCCTATTACTGCAAGGCCAGACATGCTGCCTCCCTCCAGC